ATGTACAAAAGGTTTTCACCGAAAATCAGCCCTATTTAAATAATAAAATTTTATATTAAAAATTTGTTAAATTTTCATTAGAAAAATGCGTTTCAAGGACATTTCAATTTGCAGTAAATTGCTTTGAAATTTTTCCGTGTAAAGCTTTAGTTCACATTTCTGTGCCATTAGAAGATTTATTTGATGCGAATGTGAAGCTAAAAAGTTATACAGGGCTATACATTTTATGGTACAGTAGTACAGTGCTGTGCATCACCGTTTTGATCGTTGCACCTCAGTGAAAGTGTCGCCGAAGACCCAATTTCTTGACGTTCTCTAGAGCTGCGACTTTCACATGACACACACATGGTATATTTTACATTTGGACTTTTACCTAAACATTCAAATAAAGTTCAGCACACACAACAACTGAATCCAGTTGATATGAGAATATATGTACGTCGTTTGGGTGCTTTAGCCAAAGATAGTCGACGGCGATTTTTCGAGCAAAAAATCCTCAGCAACGACTACTCACTCGGAGCTTACATAAAAAAGCAAATTTGTCGCATTTGTGGCTCCGAAAATTCTCTTCTAACTGAACAGAGGCCATTATATAAAAAACTAAATCTTACTCTCTGGCGCGCTCTTTGATCCGGGAGTGTGATTGGACTTTACTTAACTTGTAAACAACAATAGCGGGACTGTCACTATCAATTCGGAGCGTTACGGAGAATTACGTTTTTGTGGCTGTCAATTGAGGAACATGGCTTGGAGAATATTTCGTTTCAACATGGTGGTGCCAATCTACACGGGGAATATGGCTTTATTACCTTGGAGATGTCAATTGATCACAGACTTCATGTGGTATGACACCGTGGGACTTTTTTTGTGGGTCTACGTGAAAGATCATGTTTATGCGATTAAACCTTTAACTCTTGAGCACTTGAAGAACAAGATTCAAGATTCATTAGGTTATGGCTAAATTAATTAACATTTGCAAAAACACGAGAAGTGTGTGTGTATAGTGCCTCACATATCCTGGGTATTTTTTATATTAAAAAAGTAATTTAAAAAAGAAATAATAATAATTTTAAATATATTTTATTTATGATTATTTGTGACACCGCAAAATGCATAACCTTCTATAAAGTAAATATAAAGATAAGCTTCTCAGAAACATTCTTATAATGTATATATGTACCTCTGTAACAGTTATGAATATGTATATATATTATATTTCGGTTTTTAAATAAATAGTAAAATTCTAGAAAAATAATTTCATGCTTTCAATAAGAAAGCTAACATTTTCTATGAATTTCAGCTTTATTTAGCTTTTTCAAAGTATTTATTAAAAGCCGTTTCTTTCATTTTATCTTGCCATTCATTCACTTGCCTTTTCAGGGTAAAATATTTCAATAGTCTTTCAAAACAAATATTAATATGCACTTGTATATATGTATATACATATATATATGCATGTATATGTATATAAGTTATAAGCAAAGCTTTTGATAAGTAAAACTGACTGCTTGACAGCTGATAGAGCTGAGGGTTTGCGACATTTCTATAGCACAGATACTTGCAGCATGCAGCAGTTGTGGCATAAAGTTGTCAACATTAATGAGTAAGGATGTAAAATGAGATGCGGGCAAAAAAAGCCTTAGTAATGGATAACCATTGAATTGCCAAGTTGGTTTGAGTGAATGGTCAGCAGAGTTGTGGTAAATATATTCAAGATTGTTTGCATTTCCGAGAATTTTGCGTTGTTTATCTGGGCATTAAAATGGGCTCAAAAAGTTATTGCAAGTGCTATTTGGAGTGAAGTAATATTAGCCATATTATTCGCTTAAAAATATATTTTTAATTATTTTTTGCTTTTTTATTGAAAAAAAAAATTAAAAATTTTTTACACTTGTATAAATTTTTTTTTAATTCTGGACTATTCTAAAAAAAAAAATATTAAAAATACAAACTTTTGTTTTGGTAAGAAAATTTTTTTAGTTCTCGTTGTATTTTTTTTTACTAAGATAAAATAAAAATTAAATAAAAATTGGGAAAAAAATTATTTTCCTTTTAATTTTTGTTTTGTAATTTTTTTATTTTTATTTAATTTTTATCGTAGAAAAAAATTGATAGTGGAGTTGGGAATGAGGTAAATGTACTGTTATACGCACAAGACAACCTGAAGCTTAAAATAATTTATTATCTATTAGAATCTTTTGACGATTTGTTAGTTGTTAAACTCTTTGTTATTGACAATTTCTTTATGATCTCTTTAAAAGTAATAAAATTTAAGGTTTGAGATTGTAAGCCACTGTAGAAGTTGAAAAATAGATTAATTTTTAAAAATTTATTATAGGAATATGAGAAAAGGAATAGAATTTTTATTTAACCATTTCATTGAACATATATTGAAGTATAAAAAAATATTCTTTATTTATTATTTTGTTACAAAATGGCGGTGATAAAAGTCCATTATTTAATCCATGTTTTTTGAAAGTCGCCCATCGGAGGAACGATTTCTTCTAAAGGATGAGACCTAGATCTACCAACTATGGTCTCTGGAAGTACGTATGTATTTAGAATTTTAACTAGTTTTTGCGAGAGCAAAATTATTTAAAAAAAATTATGTAATCGCACTAAATTACTTAAAATAAATTTCATGTAATCGAAAAAATGTATTAAAAAAATGTATGTATAATTTTCAAATAAATCGATGCGATAGGTCCGAATAATCTGTCCTACCAGTGCGAAAAATGTGATTTTTGAGAAAAACGTCTTTAAAGCTTTCATTGTACGAGGTGCACGTTCTGAGGTGATGCAGCAAAATAGAAGGTCCAGCTATTTGAAATATTTTTTCTATTTTGAAACCAATTGCATATTATTTCTAGAACCTAAATGAACAATGTGAGCAAACAAAAAAAAAATTGCGTTTTCCAAAATCCTTGAGTGTCTTTACCTCTTAATAATTGCTCCTACCAAGAGAACTTCCTTCACCCTGGCCTACGAGTGGTCGAGCAACTTTAAAGCATAATTCTTTTAAAGCTTTTTTTTAAAGAATCTATTAGAATCGCGGCCGCCATTGCGCTGGGTGGTAAGAGACCCTAAATTTATACTTCAAACCTTCCATATCGATACAATTAACCAACTCGCCTTCTTTGGTAAGAATTCAGTTGTTCCAGCTTTTGAGCATTGATTAAAGTAACTCAGCGGATTTTTTTTGTTTGTTAATTTTTTTCTTTTCTCTTGCCAGATTTATTGCCTCGTCCGCCCGAGGAAAATAATTCGAATTCGTAATTGCACATTCCTCTTCAGGTTTGAGCACATCACTCATTCACTCACTCGTCATAACTTCGAATTTCTTCAAAAGTGGTAGGCACAAGTATTTCGATCCCATCAGAGATGGCATGACACTGATTGTAGATTAGAGTACGAAAAATCCGATTTTTTCATAAAAAACTTCTCAGTTTGGAATTTCTGCAATATTTTTAATTTTTTGAAAACAATCCAGTAATGAAACATAGGGATAGCATTTTAGCGGCATGTAAATATAATAGATAATTTTTTTAACAGCTTTCCTAAAAAAATTGGAAAATACTTAGTGTTTAGTTTTTCTGATTAATAATTTTCTACATTTTTTTGGAATAAATTGTTAATATTGCATGAACGAATATTTCTAGGCCCACAGAATAGTCGAATGACTCAAAGCAACCAAATTTAAGATAAAAAATGGCCTATGTACGAACGTTTGCTATGTCTCTGATAAAATTTATTAAATTTTATTTTAATCATTTTTATTTTCTTTTTTTTTTTTTTAATTTCTTTTATTATGTCAAAGAAAGCAGCAGTAGTTTGCTTGAATTTGTTTATTTTCAGTGAATCGCAAGTAATTGCAGAATTTTCAAATACAAACATATTTGCATACATACAAATGTGCAAATGTGTGAAATAATCTTATTAAGTTTATAGGTATGTATGAAAAAAATTTCATATGAATTTGTGGCAAGACTTATATATATATATGTATATATGTGTGTGTGTGCATACGTCATATATATATAATTGGCGCTTTGCTGCTATTTGCGGCCGAACTCCTCCTGCTCCAATTTGTGTTGAGCGTCCAGCTGTTCTTCCAACATACTGAGGAACCTGTACTTTATACTAAGCCTCCTTTGAACGGCCGATAAATTTTAATGAGCAGCTTTCTCCTATCAGAAATACTTTCCCCGCCGAAAGACGACCGCAATTAGAGAAATTAATTAATTTTTTCTAATTTTTTAGATGTTTAAGCGCCACACCAGGACTCGAACCTTGGCCTTTCGAATGGTAGCATGCAATGCTAAGTCTTGGGCCATCGCGCCCAGATATATAAGTACAATCATATATACACTGACATCTTAATTCAATTTTACTCAATTTCGATTCACCTCCCTTGCTTGGGTGTGCATGTCCGTGTGCACGGCGTCTGCTATGCAAAGTTACGCATACGCCACGTCGACCACAAAGTGGTTTTTCAGTTCTCACTCGATAGAGCACATGCATAACTTCATATATGTTTGTGTGTACTCTCTATTTGCTTTCGGAATATTTTTGCTATTTTCATAGCATTTTTTTGCATTTGCTCTGCTTCTTTTTGTATGCCATCTGCTCGTATGCCAGCTCTTATTCAATTATATTGCGTCGAGTATATACTCCTTTGTGGCCGACTGCCTGTGCATCTACCGTTCATATATGTATATAACCGCATGTATATATTAAATGACGATGCTAGTTGAAATTCACTCTACAGTTTCGAGTTCTTTGATGTAGCTAGTTCGTTAAAGCGATGATTGGGAAGTAGGGAAAATTAAGCCAATTTTAAAATTATGTCGAATTAAATGTACATAAATTAATAAAAAAATATTGAAAGTATATTTTTTTTTAAGGTTTTTGTCTTGTATGAAAATTAATTTGTTTTGTCATATTTTTGTTTATGTTTATATATAAATAAATGATGTCAATTTCCTTTTATATCATTTCAGTCTCAATCTGTATGAATTGATCAAGAAGAATAATTATAATGGTTTCAGCATGAGTTTGATTAGACGTTTTTGTAATTCGATTGTAAAATGCTTGCGTCTACTTTATAAGGAGAATATCATACACTGTGATCTCAAACCGGTAAGTATACAACAAGTATCAGCGAAGCTATGACTTAATAAAAAAAATTTATGCTTTTGTCCGTAAAATGCAAAGGATAAATTTTGATTTATTGAATCAAATTCGATATTGAAATAAATGATTAAATAATAATTAATTATATTTAAACCAAAACATAAAATTTCAGTGAGTAGAAAGTATAAACAAGGACCAAATTTACGTTACAAAGTCGAGGACTTTAAATGTATTAAAAAGATAAACAAAAATCTAAAAATTTATCAATAAAAATCTTTTAAAGCAATAGATTAGGAAAGTTTTCTTTATTGTTATACATAATTAAATACTCATCAATTTCTTTTAAAAAATAGTTAAAAGAAAAATAAAGCAAATTTGATGCTCAAAAATTGGAATTACTTGAGAATAAAACAAATTAAAAAAAAAAATAAAGAAAAATTATGATTTTACCTAAAATTGGAGAAACGTTATAAAGAAAATTCAGTTTCTACAGAAAAAAAATTTGTGAAGCTACCAATACTGTTATCGGTAATATCGATTATTTCTTTTTTGTCGATAAACATAGTTAACTTTCAATCAAAAAGTGTCAAAAGAAAATTGAATGAATTTAAATATAAAATCCATTATGATATTACATACAAGAGCTGACTTATATTTTATAGAAAACCCCTGAAAAACTGAAACCTGTTCCAAGTCAAAAAACAATAATAGATCAAACAACAATGGAAGTTTTTATAGTTAACCGAAAATTTAGTATTACCGAAAAAAGCTACTAATGATGTTATCGATAACATTGATTTATTTTTATCGATAAATACAATTGGTTTTTAATCGGAAAGTGATTGAGTCTATCGATACTTTCGATTTATTTTTTATTCGATAAACATAATTAATTTTCTGTATTACAAATTAAATATAATTAAATTTAACAAAAAATATGCAATTTTTACAGCAAATTATGATTGTATAAAAATGAAATGCTTTTTACTGAAATGTTGTATATATATTAATTATGTTTATCGATTAAAAAATATCATACTTTGGTTTATATATATATATGAATAATGTTACTAATTTCTTTTGAAAAATATGGCCGTAATACACACAAGTTCTCAACGAAATCACATAATCAGTTAAATATCTTGCAGAAATGGGCAATAAATATAAAAGATTAAAATAGTTATTACAAATAAAAAAACACTACTGCACAAAATAAACAATTACATACTAATAAATACAATTAGAAAAAAATCTATTCTGCCTGAACAAAAATCGTTTATTAATGAAATTCATTATTTTCCTCACATTTCTAATTTAAATAATATTGAAAATATCACAAATTTTTGATAATCACAAGAATTTAAGAATATTCTAAAAATAAATATAAGAAAAATAACACCAACAATATTCTTCATTAAATCGATAAATCGATAATAGTTTATGACTCCCACATATGCACACTTTTTTATACTTTATTAAATTTTATACCATCATCATATATTTTACCATTCACAGGAAAATATTCTACTCAAACAACGTGGCAGTAGTTCAATAAAAGTCATCGATTTTGGCAGCTCATGTTATATGAGTCGTAAAATTTACACATACATACAATCGCGATTTTATCGCTCACCGGAAGTGATACTTGGACTGCAATATGGCACAGCTATAGATATGTGGAGTTTAGGTGAGTCAAATTAGTGGATGAAAATATGATTAGACATAAGGAATATACTGAAAATATAAGAAGTAAAAAAAAATTAAAATAATTTAACTTAAATAAAAAAAATACTAGTGATTTAAAAAAGTAAAAACCTAAACGTAAAACTACACAATAAAATAAACTAATTTAATATTAATTTGATAAGAACGTCAGAACTAATTAAGAAAAATGTATTAAAACAAATAAAATGAATTAAAAAAAACATATAAAAAAATTAAATAAGAAAATAAAAAAAAATTAAATAAGAAAATAAAAAAATAAAATTAAATTAAAAAAATAAAATTAACTAAAAAAATAAAATTAAAATTTTCAAATATTAATAAATTAAAGGAACAAAATAAAAAAATTACAAAAAGTTTTTTAGATTTTTAAAAGCCGATTAAAGTAAAAAAAAAGTTAACCAAAAATAAATAAAATTAATTTGTATAAACTAAATTAGTTTGAGAAATTTAAATCAGCACAAAAAATTATAATAAAAAAGAATTTGAAATATTTTACTTAAATTAAAAAATAAAACAAAAAAATTTAAAAATTAATTAAAAAAATTTAAAGAATAAAAAATTGAATTAAACGAAAAAATTAAATTAGTTTGATAAATTTAAAATAACATAACAAAATAGTTAAAAAAGTAAAAATAAAAATGTAAAAAATTAAAAAACTTTTAAATAAAAAAAAAAATAAAAAATTAAATAAGTTAAAAAAAATAAAAATAAATTTTTAAATAATAAATAAAAGAATTGAAAAAAAACGGAAAAAATAAAGTAAGGTAAAACAAAATAAATTAATTTAAGTTTGAAAAAAAATTTAAATTTACAATAAAAAAAAATCAGAAAGAAAATAACTAAATAAAAAACATAAACGTACTGGCAGTGCCCTGCAACGCTTTGCTGTGTCGCATATGTATGAAAGATGAACAGAAATTATGGAGTAAATCTTAGTCCGATCGCTTGGTATTCTGCCGCCCCCAATTTCCAATAACTAACGTGAAAATACATCGGCCGATGGATCATTGTGTAGGTTAACACGCACTTTAATGGCAGGTCTTGTACATGTCAGTACCACAACGTTAAGTTGGTGTTATTGTTGCTGTTGTTTTAGCCATAAAAATATTCTCCAAAGTAGTTTTTGAAGAATATTGCGAGAGTGACAGTCTTTCGCCGCTACAGTGACATTTCTTGGACAGATAATAACCGATCAAGAGCCTCAAGTGAGTTTTATGTGCCACGTCAGAGTCTCAATGAATTGCAAGCTCCATAGCTACATAAGGAACGTTTTGCCAGTTTTTCTAGAGGCATCAAGGAAAACGATAGGATTTTTTCTGACTTGTTCCTGTTAACCTAAGCAACAATACATCTACCGAATTTCAAGTATAACGAACCATAAATTAAATTTTACCGAATAGTTCGGTCTCTGAACATTTTCCCACAGAGAATAATAGTCTGTGCATAGGATTTTGTCGAATAGGTCGGTCTCAGAAATTTTTTTTTTAAATACTTTCAAGAACCATGGAAATAACCTAACAAAATTTCTAGTCTATCGGTCATTAACTTTTGGAGATCTACGGATTTAGATGTATATATGTAATATGACAGTCGAGGTAGCCGAGTGGTTAGCATCGCGTACTGCTATTTTCTAATTGCGGTTGCCCTCAGCAGGGAATGTCAAACCCTCCGAGTGTTCTTTTTTGACATGAATTAAAGCTCTTCATAAAAAAAACCATCAGCCGTTCAGAGGCGGCTTAGTATAAACTGTAGGTCTCCCCATTTTGCTGGAATAACATCAAAAAGCTAAAACCATAAATTGGAGAAGGAGCTCGGCCGAAAATCGCTTCAGCGAATACAAAGCGCCAATTATATATATATATATATATATATATATATATATACATATTAATAAAAATCAAGTTACAAATATAATAGTTTTACTGCTTATATGTTTTTATATACAAACTTTCCAAATTTCGCATTCAGTACTTTTTGCTCTAAATCAGACCTTCTTATATATGTACATACATTCAAACATATAAAGTACAAGTACGACTTTCACCTTTTTTAATGAAAATGTTGACACAGAAATGCGTTACATTAAAATGCATTTACATTATTTTTCTACTTACGCTAATGGTATTTATATACGTATATGTAGATTTGCGGGTTTTGGAAAAAATAGAATAATATCTTCCCCCCCCTCCCTCTTTTATATGTGTCAAGTATGTGCATTTGCATCCAGCAACATATCACGAAACAAGCATCACACGTTGCTCTCAATGATTGCAAATACAAAGGTGTAAAGGGTAGGGTAGGTGCGAATAGTTGTGCAAATATCAGTGTATAGTATATGCGACTCAACTAATGTATTTACATGCGCATACACACCTTTTATTCACATTTAACGGTTGCAAGGATAAGTGCATGCTGCGCTACAAACCCAGAAAATATTAAATAAATATATATATGATATATATATTATATATATGTCTATGCAGGTGTATGTGCGAAAGGTGTTCATGCATGAGAGTATTGCATTTTACACTTTTTCTATGCGCCGTGGAGAAAATAAGTTTTTTTCCAACTTCGTAATCTGTGAAAGAGTGCAAAAAAATATATAAAACCATATTTTACCTTGATATATTTATTGCAGAGGAAAATCTATGAGAATGTGTTAAGAATAATAGGTGTTAGTACAAAATATGCTCACAAGTATAATAAATACATATGTATATGTTTTTAAAAATATTATACTGTTTTAAGCATTCGAACAGAAATGTTAATGTTTTTTCAATATTTTCTCAACGCTTCAAAGTTTAACTAAAAGCTTTCAGCAGTAAAGCTTGACTATAACGGTTTACTGACGTCAAGTAAAAAGTTAAATGTGCTAACGTCCTGTCATTAGCAAATATTTTGAGATACTCGTACATACGTGTATGTTAAGATCGCTCTTAACGATCTTCGTGCTAAAATATTCTGCAATGTTTGTTGAAAAATACATAAAAATTGTTTAAATACTTAAATCTTTTATAAAAATAGCTTGTCTTCTTTGACTCAAAATAGTACAGGGAAACTAGTTCCGAGTTTATTTTACTCTAGTTACCAGCTGTAAAATAGTTTGTAAGCAGTACTCGTGTAACTAGTTTATTTGTTTATAACTAATTTACTTTCAAATAGTCACACACTAGTTAAATTTTTAAATATTTATAACTAGTTTGTCATAAAACAGTCTCGAAGTAGTTAATTTTATACTAGTTACAAACTTTTCTATTTTGAGCTAGTTACACAGGTAGGTAAATGCACATGTAACTAGTTACACACTAGTAACTAGTTTCAGTTTTGTAATAACTAGTTTGAGACAATATTATTTACATAAATATTTACACTGATAGGTAGTTACACTAGAAACTAGTTACATTTTTTTAGTTTACTCTACTCAAATAAACTAGTTTGTAAATAATTGACAATTAAACTACTATGTTCAACTACTAGTTCAACTAGTATGAGACTATTTTAGAGTAAAGTTAAACTAGTATTAGTTGCTCTCACTTAAATACCTAGTTCGAGTCTATTTCAAATTAGTTACAAACAAATGTAATTTAGTAACTAACTACAAACTAATCAACAATTAAGTACTCTAGTGACCAGTTACAGATTTGTCTACTCTACTCAAATAACTAGTTTGAGACTTTTTTCAAAATAAATTAGTTTGTAGATAGTTGAGGTTGTAACTATTTAAAAAAACTGGTTTATAACTAGTTTAAAATTAAACTAGTTTGTAAATATTTCAAGGCAATCTAATGTTTAATTATCTCAAAGTAAGCTTTTGTAACTAGTTAACCAGTAATTGCAACTAGAGTAAAGTAAACTACTTTACAAACAAGTTTGCTTTGAACAGTATCAGCGTAACTAATTTTCAACAAGTTACAATCTGTTTTACGCTAGGCACTAGTGACTAGTTAGCTTACTTTACTCAAATAACTAATTTGAGACTATTTCAAAGTAAACTAGTTTGTAGATAGTTGGAATTGAACTAACTTTAAGATAACTAGTTTGTAACTAAACTAAACTAGTTTGTTACTAATGTTCGTAATAAGCTCAAAGTTAAACTAGTTTGTAAATAATTTAAACCAAGCTAGTATTTAACTATTTGAAAGCAAAGTTTTGTAACCAGCTTGAGATATTTCAAAGTTGACTATTAGTACTAGTTATTACAATTAGAGTAAAGTAAACTAGTTTACGAGGAATTAATTACAAACTAGTTTACTCTTAAATAGTATCATACTAGTTACATAGTAGTCCAGTTTTTATTATCTTTAGTTTACAGTCTCAAACTATCTTATTTTAAACTAGTTACAAACTATTTTTTTGTATACTAATTACACTACGGGATAATTACACTTGTAACTACACTAGAAACTAGGTATAAACTACTTTACAACTAGTTAGTTTACTCTGCTCAAATAACTAGTTTGAGACTATTTTAAAGTGAGCTAGTTTGTAGATAGTTGAAATTGAATTAAATCCCAGTAAACTAACATTAAGAAATAGTAAAGTAAACTAGTTTTTAACTAGTGTGAAGTATACTATATTGTTACTAATGTTCGTAACTAGTTCAAATCAAAATTAAGTAAAATAATTCAAACAAAGGCATTATATAATTATCTAAAAGTAAACTTTTGTAACTAGCTGGAGATATTTCAAATATATTAACAAGTATTACAAGGTGTATACAACTATAGCAAAGTAAACTAATTTACGAGGAACTTGCGAACTAGTTTGTAACTAGTTCTAGCTTGTAACTAGTTCAACAAGTGTGAAAGTATTTTGTAACTAATTCTCTGTGAACTAACTTTCTGTCTAGTTACAAACTAGTTTGCACTAAAATAGTCTCAAACTAGTTACATAGTAAATTAGTTAAATTTTCAATTATTTACAAATTAGTTTTCTTTGAAAAATTCTCAAACTAGTGAATTT